GAATCAAATGTTTGTGTCAAATAGGTTTTTGGTATATTTATCTACAATAATAGTGTGAAAAGTGAATTAATGGTCTTTAAATTTTCCAACATATTTGACCTTGCTTTCCATTTAAAAAAAAGTATTTGATAAAATGATCCCTATTGGTAATAGGTGCTCATATTTTAACATATCTAGGTTGATCCTTTTTGTTGCAAATTCTTCCTCCTCTTTGCCAAATCATGCACATCAGCTCATTTATAGGATATTTTTCATCTCTTTTGCCAGAGACATTATCTCCATTGGTAAGTGAAGGGACCTTAGAGTTCATGGGCACACTTGGCTGATACCAGATGTATTGTCAGAGTTGCCTGGGAAACCTTTGAAGTTTCTAGTCCCTGGAATGTCAAACATCTAAAGTCAGGAAGGGGCCAAAGTCATTAAACCAAGGAAACTAATGGCAGAAGAGGGATATTTGGTTTATAAAGGTAGTCCTGGTGTCTTATGTAGGGGGTTGCATTAAAAGGAAAGTCCCTCATATTCCTAATTAGCCCAGAATTGCAACAATTTTAGAATTAAAGTCAGAGTACAGGATGGAAGTCACTTTACAAAACAGAAATCTTCCATAAACCTAGACCTGAATGGGGTCTTAGTTATAATATAATTCCTTTCATTTCTCAGGTATAGAAACTTAGACTCAAAGAGTTAAAGTGATCTGCCCAAAGTGATGCAACTCAGCCAGCCACAGACACACTCAATTCCCAGTCCAATAACTTTTTTCTAACCATGCTGCTCTCATTTAGAAATGCAAGGAGATATCCATAGTGGTTTTGTTCTGTTTTGTTTTTGACAGGGCTTTAAACGGCTTTTAAACACACACAGTATTTTCATAACACTTTCTTGTTACAGTTATTTTGGGAAAGAATTATTTGATTCAATGTTTATTGTTTATGAAGCCTTTCTGTGAAGGTTAATAAACCCATATTTTTGTTAAAATGTTGATTCTCTCTCCCAAATAATATAACTGAGACTTTTATAGGGTTTTATAATTTTCATAATAATAGTAGTATTAGAATAGGATAGATAGATAGACAGATAGATAGATAGATAGATAGATAGATAGATAGATAGATAGATAGATAGATGGTGTGTGCCAGGCATTGTGCTATATGCTTTACATATATTATCTCATTTGATCCTCCTGACAATTGTGGGAGGTAGGTGCTTTTATTATCCCTATTTTACAGATGAGGAAACTGAGACAAACAGAGATGAAGTAATTTGCCCAAGGTCGTAGAACCGGTAAATCTAGATTTGAACTCAGGTCTTCGTGACTCCAGGCCCAGCATTCTCATTAACTGGGACACCTAACTTCCTCATCTACCTTTCAGATCTATGAGACAAAGGCTATGAGTGTTATTTTCCTTCTTTTTACAAATGAGGAAACTGATGATCGCAAAGATTAAGGAATTTGCCTAAGGCGCCATTGCTGCATCAGATCTCCCTGACCCCAAGTCCAGCCCTCTACCCACTACAATACACTGTCTCTCAAAAAATTCAGCCATAATAATTGTAGGAGGAAAGTTTTATTTTTTAAAAAATCACACTTACAGAACTTTAAAGTCTACAAAGCATTGTCCTCACAGCAATTCTGAGAGAGTAGGTATCAATGCCATTATTATCTTTATTTTACCGTGGACAAAGTGCATTTCAGAGGAGTAAAGTGATTTGCCCAAGGTTCCTCCTGACTCCAAATCCATGTGGGTTTTGTAACAGCACATCCACTGTCTGCTAAGTAAAGTCCCACTGTTTCTTTTTGTGATCATTTTGGCTTTAAACTTTTTTCTTAAATTATATTTTCTTTTAATTCCTACATGTGGAAATTTCTCTGTGAATCAATTTAAGAATACATAATGCTGAGAATTTTGCCCAAGCAACTTATTTGTTGTGATAGGAAACCCTACATGCAACGTAGACTGCAATGGAGAGAGTGTAGGTGCAGAGTAATCAGACTTGGTTGTTCTTGCTACTTTTCTCTGCAGCTATAAGTTAAATGAGCAAGTGACTACACTACAAGTGATTTTCTTTTCAATCTTCCATGTCAGTTGATTTGAATAAGGGGAGAGAACCAAAATTCTCCTGAGTCACTGCTGGGTTTGGAGAGCCTGGATGACTTTTCTTAAGCAAAGGATTCTTAAAAAAAAAAAGTATTTATTTTGGAAGCTTTTGGTATGTTTATTTGTACTGCTAGAACTATATAAGTACTCTCTTTGGCAATGATCATAGGATTTAGAGCTGGAAGGGGTTTTATCAACCTTTTATTCCAACATCTGCCTATTACAAATGAAACCAAAGCCTGGGGAAGTCAAGTGACCTATGCTGCACTGTTGCTGTGATTCACATATCTTTCTTTAATATCGTTGATTAAAAAAATGAAGAAAATTTAAATTCATGCTCTCCTGAGGACAGCAGAAAAGCAGAGACACAATGGATATTTTGTTGTTGTTGTGAACCATTTATTCAGGATAAAACTTGTTCTTTTTTAAAACTTCTCTTTTTCAGTTTAAAAATAGCTTTAAATGAGTGACTACTGACTGAACTAGTTGTAGTGGAAAAGATAGGTCAAAAAAGCCACTTACTATAGTTATTGATATCTTTGATTGTTTTTTAATGTCTCACTGTTTGACTGCTCCTCTCACATTTCAACACTCTGCACTGACCTCTACTGGTGCATCATCTGTAAATGACTTGAGGAGAAATATTTACATTACCATCAATACTGTCACATGGCTTTTAACGAAGAAACACACAATCCGTGTTTTTGTTTTAATTAGTACAATTACCGCAAAACAGGCTAACTTTTTTTACATATCAAAATAGGCATGGCTGGGATTTTATCAAGTAAATATTTACAAAAGATTTTTTTTAACCTTTGAGGATTTGATTATCTTATATAGCATTCCTTCATCACAGTTCTCTCAAAAGTCAAAGGGAAGAAAGAGCCCAATATATTCTTCATAGATTTTTTTTTGTCTTTGGGGTAATTTTGCCGAGAGCATCATAATTTTTATTGAAAATACATGCACTGTTTATGTGGGGGGCTCTTATTTTGAGGTGGTATATTATATAGTTGGTCAATGGGTACCCACCTACAACTATAATGCACCTGATTTTTATGGCATTATTACTTGCCCTTATCTAAAATACTAGACAGGATCAAAGTACCAAATTTTATGCAATAAAAGTATCATGCCAATTGCTTTTATTATATGACAGTCAGAAAATAAACTATAATTCTATCCTTTTTGGTTATTTAAGGGTTGGTGGGATGAGAGAAAGGGATTTAATATTAAAATGACTTGCTTACTTTATCTACAAACATGAGAAACTCAATTATTATTCAGTGTTTGGAACTGTTATCACAATATTGTAACTTGCACATAGTAGGAACTCAATAAATTCCCCTTTCATTTATCGAGTTCCTATAATGTGCAAGTTACTGTACTTTCCACAATGATCCCAGAAAGCCCACTCAACCACCTTGGAAAGCCCTAGGGGGACCTACCAGAGGCAGGTTGTACCCAAGCCTTGTTTTCCAGTGGTAAGAGTGTACTCTATGGTGAAAAATTTGAGAGTGTATTCCCAGAGAAGGAAAAAATCAATTTTTTAGGAACTGGAAGAAAGACTCCAGGTTGTGAAAATGGATGGGAGTAAAGAACTGAAGTCTTTAGCTATTGTTGCTCCCAGTTTCTCTCCCAAGGTAGAGCTTGGCAATTTAGTTCAGGGACATGGGGATATGCTTTTGGATTGGTTCTGGTGAAAAACACTGAGAAAGTAGGGCTGGGATTGGGACTTACAAGAAGATAAAAAGAGAAATAGAGAGAGAATTAGGAGGAACAAAGAGGAGAAACTGAAAGAGAGAAAACTAAAATGAAGAGAGAGCATGATGTAGGGGCAAGAGACTGGTACCTGGACTCAAATTTGGACTCTACTACCTGTGCTACCAGGCCAGCCATTGACTTTCCCAGGCTTTGGTTTTCTTATCTATAAAAGGTAGATGTTGGAGTAAAAGGTCTATAAGGCCCCTTCCAGTTCTAAATCTTATGATCATTGCCAAAGAGAGTACTTATGTAGCTCTAGCAGTACAAATAAACATACAGTAAGCTTCCAAAATAAGGATTTTTTTTAGAATCTTTTGCTTAAGAAAAGTCATCCAGACTTTCCAAACCTAGCAGTGACTCATGAGAACTTTGGTCCTTTCCCCTTCACTCAAGCCATCTTACATGGAAGATTGAGAAGAAAGTCACTTGGTAGTGTAATTAGTAAATTAGCTAGAGAGAAAAATAGCATTGCTCAGAGCAAGGACCACCAAGTCTGATTACTCTGTGCCTATATTCACTCTATTGCAGTATATAATGTGCATATGTTGAGGGTCTCCTGTCACAGCAAACAAACTGCTTGAGCAATATTCTCAGCATTATGCATTCAACATGCCTTCATGTTTGCTACTTATTATATGTAAGCAACAGATGTAGTTCTCATCTGATCCCCATAAAAGTGATTTTTTAAAAACCCAAAATAGAAAATGAATCAGCCCCCGTGTGAATATAAACCTAAAAGAAATCCCATACTGTACAAGTAACATTTTCAGCACAAAACACAGTGACTTTTTTTTAACAGAGACATGACTCTGAATGTCATAGCTTTTCAGTTTCTTTTTCTACATATCTTTGTCTTTAACTGATCTGTGTCTCAGAAATGACTTCCTTTTGGAACTAAGTGCAGGTGATGAGTTCACAACACAGTGAACACAGGTGGGAGAGGAGGCTTTTTCAATGACACTAGAAAGGAGGGGAGGGTGAAAAGCCTGGGGAAGGGTGGAGATCTTTGCAGGTAAATCCTCACTGAACAATCCTAGGGAGAATAAATTCATGTAGGGTCACTTCCCAAAACTCAATCCAAAAGACTATAACAAAATAACAAATAACTTCCCCCCCCCAAGGAACACCTTTTTTTCTTACCTTTCCCTGGTGATTCTCTACAGATGTGCACCGAGCAGTCTTTTCCTGGATATGTGGAATTACCCTCAATTTCTCTTATGCTATTTCTTTTTTGATTTCGCCACACAGTCCAATCCAAGATTCTTTTCTAAAGGAGGGGAAGTGCACAGAAACCATATCATCAGACAATTATTGATTTTTTTTTTATATCACAGCTAACCAAATACTAAATCTAATATGAACAATGACTTCTAGAGCAAGAAGAGACATTGGTTTTTACCATGTGGTGTATATGTCAGCTGGAACCCTTTTCCCTTTTAAAATGAGCTCTCTTAAAGCAATATTTTTCATGAAGTCCGATATAAAATATTACACAGCTACCCCAAAACTTTTTTTTCTCCTTACCTCTAGCATGCTTGTGAGGTCACATTCTGTTAAAAACATCCTGCCCAGGCTCGATACAAAAGGGCTCCAAAGAATCAGAATGCAGAAACTATGTAACTTGCTGACTAACTTTGCTCTCCGTTATTTACCAACTACACAAAGAAAATGCTGTCTATTCAGAATACATTTCAAAACTCTTTTCACAGAAAGTGAGTGAACAAACGATCTCATGTTCTAAGCTGTAGTCACATCTCCCATGAGGCCCAGGGATGGCTTTAGGGTATGGAACAGAGTGGTACCACTACCAGCATTCACTACAAGAGTTCTTTTGTAAACAACTCTATGTGCACTTGAAGTCTGGGTGGGTGAAGAAAGTGAAGCTTGGGGTTTCTTTTCCTTCTAACCCCATATTCGGGTACGTTTCTGCCCGAGAACATGACCATATCATTTCATTGTATGGTGGGGGGAAAGCAGAATACTAGATGAGGAGACCTGAATTTATCCTAACTTTGCCACTAACCCGAGCAGTGGGACTAAATCAGGGGTTCTTAACCTTGGGTTTGTGAACTTGGTTTCTTTCTTTCTTTCTTTCTTTCTTTCTTTCTTTCTTTCTTTCTTTCTTTCTTTCTTTCTTTCCTTCTTTCTTTCTTTCTTTCTTCCTTTTCTTAATTCAATAACTTTATTTCAATATACTTGGTTTCCTTTGTGATCTTCTGCATTTGATTTTATGCATTTTAAAACATTATTCAGGGAAGGGATCCATGGGCACCACCACATTGGGAAAAGGGCTATTCATGACACACACACAAAATGTTAAGCAACCCAGGCCTCAATGATCTCAAAGCCTTCTTCTTTCTCTATGATTTTTTTTTTATATTTTAAATGTGTTCACCAGGTTCACTTTTCAAATGAGAAATGGATATTTAATTTCTTTTTGTGAGGGGTTTGTTTACTTTTTTTTGCCCTCTTGGTTATCCACTTATATTCTCTTTCTAGTAAGTTTGTCTTTTATTTTATTTAAAATTGCCACTTCTCTGTTATTGCTTACATATTTATAACACCACATCATACAATTAAAGAATCATAGATACAAAGCTGGAAAGAAACAGAGATCAACTAACTGGTCCAGTGCCTTCATTTTACCAATATGATATACTGAAACTATAATTGATCATCTCCTCTTCCTCTCCCTTTCTCTCTCAATGTCTTTTCAAAGATTCCTCTAATTTCTATACAGAAAGTTAGGCTGTATGTGAAGAGGGCAAGCTGCATTTAATGCTAGACATTGTTACTGCAGGGGAAGAACAATCAAGTTTCAGTGTGACAGAATCATCTAAGACGTTAAAGGCACATCAGAATCCAACAAAAATAATTGTTTTTCAAAGCTAGAAGAGCATTGACTCAGGAGTCACAGGACCCAAGTTAAAATTCCATCTCTGATGCTTAATACTTGTATAATTTCTAGCAATTCAATTAAGCTCCCTTGACTTCACATTTATAAAATCCTAGTATGTGCTATGCACTGTCGATAAGCACTGGGGATACAAAGAAAAAGAAAAATAGTCCCAGTCCTTTGGGAGCTCACATTCTAAGGACAATATGTAAAGAATTAGGTTCATACAAGACACATGCAAAGTAGATGAAAGGTAATCTCAGGGGAGGTGAGGCACAAACAACTTGGGGGACCAGGAAAGGTATCCCACAGAAGGTGAAATTTCAGCTCAGTCTTAAAAGAAGCCAGGGAAGCTAAGAGGTGGAGGTGATGAGGGAGAAATTCTAGGCATGGGGCACAGTCAGTACAAAGACATGGAGTCAGGAGATAGAGTGTTATGAGTGAAGAATGGCAAACCGACCAGTACATATAGATCACAGAGTAAAGTTTAAGATTGTGAAGATAGGAAGGGGCCAGGTTACGGAAAGTTTTTAATGCCAAACAGAAGCTCATGTTTGATACTAGAAGTAATAGCAAGCCAGTGGCATTTACTGAGAAGAGTGATGCCTGGGTAATGAAAATCACTTTGTCAGCTGAATGGAAAACAGATGAGAGTAAGGAGAAACTTGAGGCAGAGAGACCAATTAGAATTATGAGGACCTGAAGGAGGTAACTATAGAGAGGTGTACATATACAAAACACATCATGAAGGTAGAAATGACAAATTTTGGCAACGAATTGGATGTGAAGGGTGAATGAGACTGAAGAGTTAAGGATGACACTGAAGAAGGTAGTATCCTTAACAGCAATGAGGAAGTTTGAAAGAGGCCACTTTCAGGAACACATGCTCAGTGATTGAAGGCCTTTTAACTTCCACATGATGCATCAATCCCATATTCTCATGATGAAAATAGGGGAATGGGAATGTGTCAAAAGAGAATCCTGACTACCCACTGTATAGAAAGAGCCACCCACTGTATAGACAGACTTTAAAATGAGAAACAACTTCAGCTCTTGCTCTTTTCCATTCCTTCTGGAAGGTGTCATAGAACTCTCTTTGGGATATCCCATAAAAGAGGGCAGAGGGCTCCCCTATCCCTTGGCAGCCATAGCAACTGTTTGGACATGGCAGAGGGCATGTGAGTTGCCTAGGTGACTTTATGGCTGGGCCTTAAGCTCTTGGATGCCTCTTCTGCCGAACAGAAATCCTGAGATGGCATACATTTCCATCCTTAGAGAGAATCTTGTGAATTTAAGGGAATTTCTTTTGAGCTGACTGGCCAGAGAAGGAGGAGGAACTTTCTACAACTACACCCTTGGAGAAGATGAGCATGAAGGGATAACGATTCCAAGCCCTGGCCAGGCTAGCCAGAAAACACGGATCTTGAGGGATTTGTTCAAATAGTGCAGAGTCAAGATCAAGGAGAAATGCCTATTGAACAGTCCCAAAGAGTGCTTCATGTTTTAAGGTCTTGAGTATTAATCTTCCAGGAGACTAAAATATTTTGTTATTATATACTTATGAGTCTTTTTGCGATTTTTAGTGGAGGAAATAAGTAGCTGCCCTATTGCCTGATTTACCTTGTACACTGAGTCAAGCTTTAAGTAATTTGCCTCTAGGGTTCCTATGTATATAAATAGCCAGAAGCATCAAGGTAAGAACCTGTCCTTTCTCTTTAAAGGAGAGTCTCTCCAGTACTGAACCCTGATCTGAATGCAGGAAGCCAGAGCTAGGAGCCCTTCAATGAGAGAGGGAGGGCACTCTATCCCCAAGTAGGCCCTATGAAATCTATTGTTACAGTTATATAAGTAACATCTATATGAAAACTCTTCATAACCTTCCCCGTCCTATGACATTTTATTTTCTCTATTCTGAATAAGTATTACCAACGCAAAGATTCCCCCAAAATGCCATTGCTTTGTATGACTGTGTCCTATTAGGAGAAAAAATATACCAAAAAGTACTGTTTAGCATAATTTGTTAATTCTTCTAAGGAAGAGACAGTTTTGTGTACATGGTACACACATGTGTACTCATAGAGAAAAGAATGCATTTGTGAGATTTCCCAAATTCTACAAGTTCAGGTTCTGTATATGTAGCTTAATTTTGGGGAATCAAAAAGAACATATTCTTGACTGGATGTTAGAGCAAATTTTTTTTTCCTGTGGAAAAAAGCAAGAATATACTTTGTAAAATTTGGGAGAAAAACATTAAAAAATTATTACCTCAAATTTTTAGGCACCAAAAGGCAAAACTATAATTTCACTGTCAAGAAAAGGTAATACTATCATTTCACTGTCTACAAAAAGTTGTGATTTTTAAAAATTCAATTCAATCAACCAATTCATAAATTAAGTATTTATTACCTCATTACTATGTACCAGGAACTTTGCTTAGTGCTAGGGATACAATGTACAAAGAATGAAATAATCTCTACTTGCAAGGAGTGTGCATTCTAATGGGGAAAGTAACAAGTACATATATCAATCAATAAATGAACATTTATTAAGTGCATACCATGTGCTAGGCATTGTGTCAAGTGCTGGGGATATAGAAAGAAGCAAAGGACAGTCCCTGTACTCAAGGAACTCAAAAAATCACAATAAGCAAATAAATACAGACAAACAAGCTACACATAAAAATAGACAACATAACAGAGAGAATAAATGCAAACATACAGAAATTGGTAAAAAAAAAAAAACCCTAATTTGGACAGGAGGGATCTAGCATTTGGGAGGCACTGGGAAAGACTGAATGCAGAAGCTGCTGTTTGAGCTGCATTTTAAAGCAATACAGAAACTAGGAAGTGCATTTCATGGCTATGAGATGGCCAGTGCACAGGCTTGGAGGTGGAATATGGAAGGTTGTGTGTGAGGAATAGAGAGATGAGCAGTTTGGCTGGGTTCGAGAATACAGAAAGAGGAGTAATAACTAATGAGGCTAGAAAGGTTGGGGTCAGGTTGCATATTTCTGCTTTAAAAGTATAAAAAGGAGTTTATATTTAGAGAGCCATTCAAGTTGATTGAGAAGGGGAGTTATATCATCAGATTTATGCTTAAGAAACACTACATTGGCAGCAGAAGGCAGGATGGATTGGAGTGCATTTGAAGCACACAGACCAATTAGGGAGCAGTTGCAACAATCTTGATGAGTGGTAGAGGGCCGCACTAGAGTAGTAACTATGTAGATGGAGAGATGTGGACCCATTATGAGATGCTGGGAAGGCGTATAAACAGCAAGCTTTTGCAACTCATTCAAAAGTGAGGTGAGAGAATGGATTGAGAATAATAGTGAGGTTATAGAACTGAGAGGATAGGGCCTTTGACAGAAATATGGAAATTTGGAAGGGTTCTACCCTAATAATCAATTATAATCAGCTTAGTTTTGGACATGTTGAGTTTGAGATATCTCTAGGACATCCAGTTTAAATGACCAATAGGCAATTGGTGATGTAGAACTAAAGCTGAAGTGGGATATTGGGGATATGTGTGTGAGTGCATGTAGAAACACACACACACACACACACACACACACACACACGTGTAAGTGAGATAGAGAGAGGGAGGGAGGGAGAGAAAGAAGAGAGACAGAGAGAGAGACAGAGGCAGAGATGGAGAGACAGAAAGAAGAGAGAGAGGGAGAGAGAGAAAGAGAGAGAGAGAGAGAGAGAGAGAGAGAGAGAGAGAGAGAGAGAGAGAGAGGAGAAAGAGAGAGAATCACCTGCATAGAGATGAAAGTTAAA